GGGTCTTCGTTGCTGCGCGCAGGCTTTCTCTAATTGTGGCGAGCGGGGGCTACTCTTTGTTGTGGTGCGTGGGCTTCTCATTACGGAGGCTTCTCTTGTTGTGGAGTAGGGGCTTTAGGCGCGCAGGCTTCAGTAGTTGTGGCGTGTGGGCTCAGTAGTTGTGGCTCGTGGGCTCTAGAGCGCAGGCTCAGTAGTTGTGGCACACGGGCTTAGTTGCTCCGCCGCATGTGGGATCTTCCTGGACTAGGGATCGAACCTGTGTCCCCTGCATTGGCAGGCAGATTCTTATCCGCTGCGCCACTGGGGAAGTCCCTCCTCAATCTTTAATATGGAGCTAATATTAACAGTTGATGGCAGATTGTTTTCAGGATTACATAAAATAATCAGTTTAGTGAAAATTCTCAAACCATTGAGAGTATATACCTTCAGCTTTTTCCCCACTAACTGCTACCAACTGAACTCTATTGAAAACTCCTCTTTCCACTGAGTACATCCCAATCCAATTTCATAACATTCTGGACATTTTGTTATTAAAACAGTCCTCTTCTCCACTAGTGCAGGTTAGATAGGAAACTCTGTGTGTGTGTCTTTAGTGAAGGCATGATCAGCTTTCTTGAACTCCACACTTCCCTCCTTCCACATATCCATTTGGTGTTTGAAAAGGAAGACAGGTAGAGAAGAATTTGTTTCTTTATAGTTTGTCAAGGTTGCTGTCCCCTTTCATTGTAAATGACCTTGAATCTTTTCTGAGGCTCCGTATGACCAGGTGGCGACCATAATAAGTTCCACTGACAAAGATGTCAGTCCTCAGCAGTTCCAGTAAACATTGATGGTCCCTGGAAGACTAAACTTTATCTTTTGGTTTAATTTCATCCTTCACAGCCTCACCGCCCACTCATAGGACTGCTCTATATCTTACCTACTTTCTCATTAGCCATTGCAACCCAACTCTGGGGCCAAAGGTATAGGTGGGATTCATTTTCTGTATCTCCCAGGAATCAGGGACTTGAGATGAGGTTTCCTCACCCTTTTGGCCTGGCTACACCACCCAGCCACCTCTCCCTAATCTTCCTTCTTCTATTTTGGTAGCATTGGGCAGAGACAGGAAACCCAGTACCTAAGCAGACATCCATATGAGGAGTTCAGGGAATCACAGCCTAGAATGAAGGCTTCTATGAACTTGGCCCTAAAGAGTTTGGTAAATATTTCTCATAAGTGTATCATTTCACCATAATCCCTGGACTAATTAGCAACCCCAAAGGGTCAGGAAATGATATCAATCAGTACTTTACACTATTCTGATATACCATTCTGATACAAAGCATCATCTATAACTAACCTAGATGTACCAATCAATGGTATTTTTCCTTGGTGAGTTATAATGGGACTCCATTTCTAGATTATATGTCTGTGTCACCAATACAGGGTGCACATTGTTCTAAGCATGCTACAAATATTAACTCATTTAATGCCCACAAAAATCCTATGAAGTAATTACTATTGTAATCCACAAATTACAGACGAGGAAATTGAGGCACAGACAGGTTAACTTATATCTCTTCTTTTCACCTTTGTATAGTTGAATGAATCTGCTAGGAATCCAATTAAGATTTTCAAACTTGTCGTCAGGAGACATAATTTCTTAGTTTTCTTTTTTTATTATTATAAGTGGTTATTTGAGATTATGACAACCCATAATAAGTTTGGTAACCTGTCATTTTTGTGATCTGAAAGAGGTTATATACTGTAGTCCTTGTTACACACTTGACACACCAGAATTATCTGTTCCTTCAAATTTTTCAGACTTCATCCACACGTCTGTTTCTATCAAGTGGTAATTGTTCTTTGGGAACACTTTCAATTGTTACTGGTTGGCTTAATTTTTCTACATTTTGTTGGTTTTGATATTTTATATTTTTGTAAATATTAAACTCTCTTAAGGTTCCCTATATTATGCACAATACATTTTTCTAATTTTATTATTTATTTAATTGAATTTTATTTTATTCATTTTTTATACAGTAGGTTCTTATTATTATCTATTTTATACATATTAGTATATATATGTCAATCCTACCTTTCTAAGAATTTGTCCATTTATTCCAGGTTGTCCATTTTATTGTCATAGAGTTGCTTGTAGAAGTCTCTTATGATGTTTTGTATTTCTGTGGTGTTCATTGTAACTTCTCCTTTTTCATTTCTAATTTTATTGATTTGAGTACTCTCCCTCTTTTTCTCGATGAGTCTGGCTAATGGTTTATCAATTTTGTTTATCTTCTCAAAGAACCAGCTTTTAGTTTTATTGATCTTTGCTATTGTTTTCTTTGTTTCTATTCCATTTATTTATGCTCTGATCTTTATGATTTCTTTCCTTTTGCTAACTTTGGGTTTTGTTTGTTCTTCTTTCTCTAGTTCCTTTAGGTGTATGGTTAGATTGTTTTTTTGAGATTTTTCTTGTTTCTTGAGGTAGGCTTGTATAGCTATAAACTTCCCTCTTAGAACTGCTTTTGCTGCATCCCATAGGTTTTGGATTGTCATATTTTCATTGTCATTTGTCTCTAAGTAATTTTTTATTTCCTCTTCGATTTCTTCAGTGACCTCTTGGCTTGTGGACGCTTCCTGATGGGAAGGACTGGTGGTAGGTAGAGCTGGGTGTTGCTCTGGTGGGCAGAGCTCGGTCAAACTTTAATCCGCTTGTCTGCTGATGGGTGGGTTCCTTCCTTGTTGGTTGTTTGGTCTGAGGCTACCCAGCACTGGAGCGTACATGCTTTTTGGTGGGGCTAATGGTGGAATGTGGGAGGGCTCACACCAAGGAGTACTTCCCAGAACTTCTGCTGCCAGTGTCCTTGTCCCCGCATGAGCCACAGCCACCCCCCCACCTCTGCAGGAGACCCTCCAACACTAGCAGGAAAGTCCGTTTCAGTCTTCTATGGGGTCACTGCTCCTTCTCCCTGGGCCCTCATATGCACACTATTTTGCGTGTGCCCTCCAAGAGTGGAGTCTCTGTTTCACCCAGTCCTGTCAAAGTCCTGCAATCAAATCCCGCTAAACTTCAAAGTCTGATTCTCTGGGAATTCCTCCTCCCATTGCTGGACCCCCAGGTTGGGAAGCCTGACGTGGGGCTCAGAACCTTCACTCCAGTGGGTGGACATCTGTGGTACAGTTGTTCTACTGTTTGTGAGTCACCCACCCAATGGTTATGGGATTTGATTTTATTGTGATTGCGCCTCTCCTACCATCTCACTGTGGCTTCTCCTTTGTCTTTGGATGTGGGGTATCTTTTTTTGGTGAGTTCCAGTGTCTTCCAGTCAATGATTGTTCAGCAGTTAGTTGTGATTCCAGTGCTCTCACAGGAGGGAGGGAGTCACGTCCTTGTACTCCACCATCTTGAACCAATCTCCTCTAATGTTAAAATATCACTTTTATACATCGTTATATCACTCTTCAGTTCTCTGGTTGTCGTTTGCCCAATATGATAAATTTACATAAGAAAAATATATATAAGATAGTTCAACTTAATCAGTTCAGAGATTCATATCCAAAGAATTTAAGATTTATGAATGCAACATTTATTTTTCATTTTCAAATAATGTATATTTTTAATGCAGTATTTCATATGAAGAGTTTAATATGGTTTGATGTTAACTATGGTGTTTTTAGTACTATTTTCCTCTTTTAAAGCCCTCTCCCAAAACATTAAGTATGTAAATTTCACCTAAGCAACTATGTATATATACATACATATACACACACACACATATTTACACAGACACAAGCATACACAATCACTGTTTTTATTACTTACTTGTATTGTCTCTACTTATGAAAAATTACTAAAATATTAAAGTTCTGTAATAAATGTCTTAGCTTGTAAGATCCTCCTTATGGTCTTTACCTACTGTTACAATGAAACAAAAACATGCTGGTTTACAAAATTGGGCTTAGTAATGGTTAGGTAGTCCTGTCTCTCAGTCTTGTGCTATGACTGATTTTACTCATTCTGAGAACCGTGGATACTAGGTGTGTCATGGATGTGGAGGGAAATCTCAGTTCAGTATACAGTCGACTCTTGAACAATCGGGTTTGAACTGTGTGGGTTGACTTATATGCAGATTTTTTTCAATAGTAAATACTGCAGTACTACAGAATCCCTGGTTGGTTGAATCCTCGGATGTCAAACCGTGGATACTGAAGAACCGAGGATTCGGAGTGACTATAAATTATACTCGAAAATGCCTACCACACAGAGGGTCGGCACCCCCTAACCCCTGTGTTATTCAAGGATCAACTGTATATATACTCAGAATTCATATGATAAAAAAAAGGATGGTTATAGTTTACCTCATATACATAATATTCTTAGTATTTCAGTTATTTTAATTGCATTAGATCTCTATCCTCTCAAGTTTAATTAGTAGGAACACAAAACTTTTTATGTTGGTGCCAACTTCCAAAATAGCAACATGTTTTGGTGCCAACTTCCAAAATAGCAACATGTTTTTCTCTTTGCTTTTACTCTTATTTCAATAAGTATTGAAATATTTTACATAGTCTCAGCTTCACACATACTTTTTTGGGTGTATATAGTGGCATGCCCTTCAGTTTGATAAAAACACATAGAAAACCTGAGTAAATGATTTTTTAAAAACACTGCTTAGAATTGAATGGAAGTTGGCAGAGTTTTGGAAGAAAAATAAGTATATATTAAACTCACAAAGGATTGAGATATATCTGCAATAGTTCATACATTTCTTGGTATTTAATAAATGCTATACTTAATATGAGAGTATGGTAAGTATAAATCATGAAAAAAAAAGGATACTTTCATCTGGTTCTATAGCTTCTGATAATTCATTTTAGAATTTACTTTTTTAGGTTTCTTTTTGGACCTATACTATGCATGCATCATATTACATGAACTAATGTACATTTAAATCACAGAAAGGAACCAGTCACATTTTTTTTTTCATGTTTCTGTCACTTTCTATCCTTAGAAACAGTTGACCCTTGGCCAATTGCTCATGATTTGGAGAAATAAGTGGAACTCTACCCAGGGGACCCTAAATGTAAAACTGCAATCTGATAAATTACAAAACAGCTGTGGTAAGTGATAGGTTATACACCTAGATGTAATTTAACCTCTAAAAGTTTTAAGCAGTATTTCCCAATTACAAGGTGCTTAAATACAAATATGAGACCTTTGTTAGCAAACATCCAAAACAGGAAAAAGCATCACTGGACTCAAAGCCTGTTGAGGGTTAGGGACCTGCTTTCTGGTTTACCTGATTCATCGGCCATGCGCAGAGCTCGCCTCCTTCTACAGTGCCAACCAATATTTATTAAGTGCACTATTTTAGATCTAAATATTGGAAGGATTATAAATATTGCCCATGAGAAGTAAGATTTAAAAAGAGATTGCCGCACCCTTTTTTCCTTCTCAGGATACCTGCTCCTGTACTATGGGTTCAGGTGAAGGGTGGGAACTGACCAGGCAGAGGAGGAACGTGAAGGTTTAGGGTGTAAGGCAGTTACACTCCCATTACACACTTTCGTGCCATTTTCACTCCTTTCTGATTGCTTATCTGAAACATTGGGCTACTAGATTAAATTTTACAGCCCCTCCCTGAACATTCTGGTACTGAGTACCTTGGGGCTTTTCTGCTTTTTTCTGCGCAGGTCTCCGTGTCGTAGATATTTTGGTGCCTGTTCTCTCCCACCACCCCACACCCAGGCATTCAATTTGCGAGTTGAGGAAAATGACCACTTCTCTTATCCTCCACAGTGATCTATAAACGATGCTTATGAAATGCATGATGACAGCTTTAATCCCAATCCCAAATGAGACTGGGAGTCCCTCAGCCCCTCCCTAGGAAACCTCTTTCATCACAAGCAGTCGTGAAGGGAGGGCAGGTCTTCCACGCCCTTTTCTGAGATATGCCCTGCAGGCCCTGAGGGATTACCCAAGGTGGGGGGGGGACCAAAAGACGAGGCCCGGGGCCAAGTTTCCTCCCTCTCCTCTTCTCGCAGGGCGCGGGGATGGGGAAGGAGGGATGCTGCTGGTGTGTCCGAGCGACTATTCGCCACCTGCGGAGAAAAGGGGAATAAAGGTACCCACTGGGACCCGTCCGCAGCCCCGCCCGGCGCCGCGCACGCCGTTTGTAAGCGCCCGAGGCCCCGCCCCCACCAGGCCCCGCCCCTCCCCGGCTCGGGTTCTGGCTCCCCCAGCGGAGGGGGGCGGAGAGAAGCCGCAGCTGCAACTTCGCCTGGAGCCTCTGAGGCTGGGTGCAGCCGGGGACCGAGTCGCACACATCGCAGAGGCGCCGATTCCCCGGCCGGGGCCTCAACCGAGCCGGCTCGACCATGGCAGCCGCCGCCGCGGCGAATCCGGCCCCTGCGCTCCCCTCCCGTCGCTGATCGGCCGTTAACCAGCCCGCCCGCTGGTCCCCCCGCCGGTGCCGCAGCGGCCCAGGCTCCGGACAAATTTCCGCCGCCGGAGGCGAAGGCAGGGAGGACTGACGTGGGGCATCGGGCGCCCCCGGCCCACTCGGCGCTCCCGCCCGCGATGTGGGGGCGCTTCCTGGCCCCGGAGGCCGGCGGCCGGGACAGCCCCGGCGGAGCCCGCAGCTTCCCGGCGGGTAAGTAACGGGACAGGCCCCCGGCTGGGGTGGGGGTCGCGGCCGACCGCGGCGCCTCGGGACCCCGCCGCCGCCCCCCTCCCTCCTCAGGCCTGGTTTCCCCCTGGCCGCCCGCCCCCGACGCCTCTCGCCGGCCCGCCAGCCCGGCTTCCTCCCGGCTGCTGACGCCCGGCCCCCCGGGCTGACTTCTGGCGTGGTGCCTGTTCTCTCCCACCACCCCACACCCAGGCATTCAATTTGCGAGTTGAGGAAAATGACCACTTCTCTTATCCTCCACAGTGATCTATAAACGATGCTTATGAAATGCATGATGACAGCTTTAATCCCAATCCCAAATGAGACTGGGAGTCCCTCAGCCCCTCCCTAGGAAACCTCTTTCATCACAAGCAGTCGTGAAGGGAGGGCAGGTCTTCCACGCCCTTTTCTGAGATATGCCCTGCAGGCCCTGAGGGATTACCCAAGGTGGGGGGGGGACCAAAAGACGAGGCCCGGGGCCAAGTTTCCTCCCTCTCCTCTTCTCGCAGGGCGCGGGGATGGGGAAGGAGGGATGCTGCTGGTGTGTCCGAGCGACTATTCGCCACCTGCGGAGAAAAGGGGAATAAAGGTACCCACTGGGACCCGTCCGCAGCCCCGCCCGGCGCCGCGCACGCCGTTTGTAAGCGCCCGAGGCCCCGCCCCCACCAGGCCCCGCCCCTCCCCGGCTCGGGTTCTGGCTCCCCCAGCGGAGGGGGGCGGAGAGAAGCCGCAGCTGCAACTTCGCCTGGAGCCTCTGAGGCTGGGTGCAGCCGGGGACCGAGTCGCACACATCGCAGAGGCGCCGATTCCCCGGCCGGGGCCTCAACCGAGCCGGCTCGACCATGGCAGCCGCCGCCGCGGCGAATCCGGCCCCTGCGCTCCCCTCCCGTCGCTGATCGGCCGTTAACCAGCCCGCCCGCTGGTCCCCCCGCCGGTGCCGCAGCGGCCCAGGCTCCGGACAAATTTCCGCCGCCGGAGGCGAAGGCAGGGAGGACTGACGTGGGGCATCGGGCGCCCCCGGCCCACTCGGCGCTCCCGCCCGCGATGTGGGGGCGCTTCCTGGCCCCGGAGGCCGGCGGCCGGGACAGCCCCGGCGGAGCCCGCAGCTTCCCGGCGGGTAAGTAACGGGACAGGCCCCCGGCTGGGGTGGGGGTCGCGGCCGACCGCGGCGCCTCGGGACCCCGCCGCCGCCCCCCTCCCTCCTCAGGCCTGGTTTCCCCCTGGCCGCCCGCCCCCGACGCCTCTCGCCGGCCCGCCAGCCCGGCTTCCTCCCGGCTGCTGACGCCCGGCCCCGCGGGCTGACTTCTGGCGCCCCGCGTCCCCGGCCCTGTCCGCCCTGCATCGCGGCACGCCGGCTCGGCGCCGC